TTTCTGTGTGTTTATGACATTGATGACATATTTGTCTCTTCCATTCACCTTTGACATCTCTGTAAATGGTTTGACCATGTCTTTCTCAAAAGGATCTGAAGCAGCGATACATTTCTATCAATCACTTGCACATTGTTTTCCACTTGTGTATGCCACATACATTTCCCTCTTCCTATTGTTTGATGCTCATTTGACTCCACTTTGGCTTGGCATGCTTTTTAGAAATCTGACTGTATCTGAGAACATCCACGCGAGTGCTGATGCAGTCCTTTTTTAATCCTCGGAAGTAGAAATGTTCCCTTCCCATCAGGACAAACGATGGCCTCTTTTCTTAGTTGATGGGTTTAGATTTTTTTTATCTATTAAAAATGCATAAAATGAAAACTGAAATCTCTTCTTTCCTTCCCTGCAAACACTGATTCCTCACTGCTGATGTTACCCATTGACAGTGTTTAACTTTAGTCTTTTTTTCTATGTTGAGACAGCTGAAAGATGGATTTTGAACTTTGAAATAATTGTTCAACGTTGCTTTTTCATCTGTCGTGTATGTGAGGCTCTTTTTACATGGCTGCAAGACATTCCATGGTCTATACTGACCATAGTCTATGCAAGCATTCCCACTACTGATAGACCAAGAGGAAATTTTCCTTTGCTTTTTAACCATTAAAGACATTGTTGCAGCAACATCTTTGACATATGTGCCATGAGACCCCCGAGCTTCTAAATCTGTAGCGCCAGTTCCTGCTGCTGAATCATAGGACACGCCCATTGAAAATCTTAAGATTGCACTTCCAAGTCCTAACAAGATGCAGAATGTCCTCTCCTCACACTTTTGATTACATTGAATGACCTTAATCTTTTACGTTTTAATCATTATCATTGGTGAATCTTGGTATCTTGCAGTCCCAATGTGCAGTTCTTTGTTAACTAGGTGAACATATTTTCTTATATTTATCAACTTTCTGGATCTCATTTTTCTTTTTGTGAATTATTATCATTTACCCTGTTTTCCATGCCTATTGACTTGTAGGATCATCCACATATTATACATACTGCAATTATTTTCTTCCAGTCCTTGTGTTTATTGTAGATCAGAAAATCCTAAGCACAAGGTTAGAATTCAAGTTAAAATTGCCAAGCTCATCTATGCATCATCTATGGGACAACAGCACTCAGCCCAGTTGCCCACAGAACTTGATCAACATATAATCAATTGAAATTATTTTTGGAAACCCTATTCTGTTCCATGGATTTTAGCACAGTCTCTCTCTTTAGAGAGGTCTGCTGTGGTTGCCAAATCTAAAATAGTCCTACCCACATGCAGGCCCCTCATCCATCCACCCAACCATCCGTCCATCTGTCTGTCTGTCCGTCCATCATTTGTGGTCTTCTATATGCTTTTGTCTTCCTGAAACTATCCTGTTCATTTATCTGCTGACCTGTTAGTTATCTGTTTCCACTTCATTGTGGACCCTCACCTGGCACAGAGCTGGTGGTCCACAAATATCTGTAGATATATGTGAAACGAATGGTGAATTTCCAGCTTATATCCTAAAGGTTTTGATAATCATTGCTTTGGCCTGATATATTTTAAAATCTGTTAGACCAAAGATGCTGGCCTCACAGTTAATTTCTTAGAAAAACTCTGTTATTCTTGTCTGATTACTTCTTACAGCTGAATGTCACACCCTATATGTCATGCTTTATCAAAATACAGAGCGGATTTTAATTCATATTGGAATGGCTCTTTATAGTGACTTATTTTTGTCTTTACTACATTTTGTCTTCCTAATGGCAGTTGAGTTTAGCTCTTCATGTATTCGTGTTTTTCTTGATCTCTTTTTCATGGTGCTTTAAATTTTCTTTTATAAGCCCGTATGTCAAACATGCTAAATCTTGAGTGTAATTTGTTTTGGTTCTGTTGTAAATAGAAGCTCTTTATACTGTGTTCTCCATCTCACTAGTATTTGGGGGATGCATTCTATTTTTGAATAATTGATATATTGGTTTTACCACGGGAGTGGCAAACATATATTTGTAGAGGTGTGAACCTATTCCTCTAAAATATATTCAGTTTTGTAAATCCATGTTAACTCAATAAACATAATTTAAAAGAACACAAAAAATAAAATCATTTTAACATTTCAAATTTGATATCTTGTGCCTAACAACTTTGAGTTCATTGCTTCTAGAATTTCTTTATTGTTGTTGCTGGTATTTTGTTTGGTCTTCTTTCTTCCTTCCTTCCTTCCTTCCTGTTAACTTTCTTGGATTTTTTAAAGGAATTTAATCATGTCCTTTACCAAAAAACATGTTTTTATGTCTTCTAGTTTTTTCTTCTTTATCTCTTTTTTAGATCATTTAAATACAAACTCCTTACCCAGGATTTTAGATGCCATTTCTATTGCTTTTGTTTTAACTGCCCTTGTTACTAACCTTGCTCTAGACATGATTACATTCTCTTATATGCTTTTTTCCTCCAACATTTTAATCAGAAATAGATGTGGAATTTTACTGGTCATCTCAACATTTTTGAAGAGTGTATTTAATCATTCTTTCAGTGAACATTAGTTAGTTTTTTGTGTAATGGATTAATCTTAGTTCCACTATTTTGTTAGTAGCCAAGTTATTATATAGATATTTTATTAAGTCCCATTAAAAATGTATTTCTCATAATACCAACTGGGCAAGAGAAACTTCCCACTCCCCGCCCCACCCCCCACCGCCCATATCCTAGCACAGTTGAAATAAGGTAAGGATGTTCTTTAAGGAACGTGGAAAAACTCTTCATTGAATTCTCTGGAACCAAGGAGGGGTTTGCAACTCATTTTGTATTAAATGCCTTCCTATGATAATCATCATCTTCCCTATTTTTGCTGTATTCTTAGTGTTATGACCTTTTGACTTGTCAGCTGTCTCTGATGAATCGTCACATTTCCTATTCTGTAGATAAAAAGGGAAGGTCATGGAAAGCATTTCTGCCAGGGTCAGAGGTTCATCTCAATATCTCACACTAAGACTACCTTCTCTCTGCCACTTCCTCCACGAGCCATGTCTTGTCACAGCACACTTCCCTATCCCAGACTGGGAGTGAGGCAAGTATGAAGCATAGAAATTTGAATTATGGAAGGGATTCTGTTTCATAAAGAAATGCAATTTTATTATTTTCAAGAACACATGTAATGCCTCAAACTAATGTCTTACAGAAGGTCACCATGTAAAGGTTTTGCAGATGTTTCTTTAACAAAGACTTAAAAGTTGATGATAATTAGCACATGCACTTGCTACTTCTAAATGGATATTCCCAACGCGCCTGCAAAGTATTGTTTTAGGTAGACTAAGCATGCCTCCCCTAGCAATGTGCTCTTAACTTACTAAAGAAATGCCATTCTTACTGATTGTGCAAAGATAAACTTTTGTCCACAGTCAACAAATCTTAGATTAACCAGGTCCAAATTACTATGGTTTCCCATTTAGTTTTCTGAGCCCGAGACAATGATTCATTCACCTAGTTCCAGGTATTTCTGTTGCAGTACAATTCCAGTGTAATGGAGTGACAGCACTGGGAGGTGTGTGTGGGTCTGACTTGGTGTTTGTCTTTGCGCTTCTCCCTCTCTGCCCGAAGGCTCTGTTTTTCTTGGGTGTCTGCGCTCAGTTCATCTAAGCCTCTCTGTAAGACACTCCCAAAACCTTCTAAGCCAGGCTCAACATGGGCAGAGCTATCTACGGGCAGATGTGTTGAGAGCAGAGGGTTTAAGGGAAAGATCCTGAAAACAACTCCCATCTCAAGGAAAGCAGGCCAGACTGTGTCAGTGTGGAAGTGTTTCCTGGGGGGAGCACCCTGCCATCTAGAGGGCAAAGGCAGGTTTCCTGATTCCTCCCCTTTCCTCCTGAGGTGTGGACCACAGTTATGACTTAACAGGATCCTGCATCTCCCTGGACAGAGATGATTCTGGGAATTTCCCCACCCCAATTCTAGGCCACAGCCAGCGAATTGCTTTTCCAGGCTGGCTGGCAGTGCCTGGGAGTGACGTAGGTTCATCAGAATGGCCATGGAGGGAGGTGTGGAGGTGAGCAGGAGATGGGCTGCAGTTGTCCTTCCTGGAGCACATGGCACTCTGGGGACTCAGTGTTCTAACGGGTGGGGGAGGAGCTGGAGCACCTGTGACCCTGGGCCATGTGGGGCAAGTAGGCCACAAACCAGGGTCAGCGAGGACTTCTGTGGTGCAAGGCTTGCATCCAAGACAATCTCCCAGATCACCTCCCTGTCCTGCCTCTGCTGCTCCTTGGGTGGGATTTGAACTTGTTCTGCTGGCAGAGAGTATGCAGAGGGTAGGACAAAGCACCGGAGCCCAGACTTCCAGCTGGAGGCTCGACACGTCAAGTACGCAGTCAGTGGGTGCTCTCTCTCCTTCCCTGTCTTTTCCCTGCTCTGCCACACTCACACCTTGACCTGGTGTGATGCTCACTCTGCTCTATCCTGCCACCCTGCCCTGCCTGGGAGACAGGCGGCTTCTCCAGGACCTTCCCTCCCTGGCCTCAGGCTGAGCATTGTCCAGGAGAAACCATGGTGAATTCCAGGTCTGAGCAGGACTGGTGACAGTCAGGAGGGAAGCAAATGAGGGATCAAAGTGGGAAGTGGGGTGAGGTCGGAGAGATCGGGGACATTGGTTACTGTGGTTCTCTCCTCTAGGTTTAGACCACAACTGTCTTTGCATGCTGATCTTTTAGTGGGGGACAGGGTGGAGAGAGAGGGGGTGGGGAGGCCTGGGATTTTCCAATTCCTGGAAAAGCTGGATAGCACAGTGGAGGAGGGCGGAGGATCTGAGGAGGTGTCCTCATGTGAGGTGGGATCTCATGGCTCAGTAGGGGCAACCCCAGATTTTTTTTTTACCCATTGTCTACTTAGCCTGTCCTTGTTGCCTCATTCTCTCCATATCTTCCCCCCAATACTACCCCAGCATTGTCCACCCCTCCCCATCTCCATCCCCCAACACCTCCTGGGCACCCCATCTTCCAGAGCCTGGTTCTTCTCTCCAACGTGTTCAGTAGTAAGTCTCCTTCTCCACCCAGCCTGTCAGAGAGATTAGGGTAGGGGCTGCAGCAAAAGTTTAAAAGGAAGCACGTGACAAGTCCCCTAAGAGTTTGATGGTGAAGGCCAGGTGCGGCAAGAGGGGTAGGAGAGAAGGTGTGAAAAGGGCAGGCTGAGGGGCAGGCAGAAGCCCAGTGGGCTGAGGTCTAGATCAGGGGAAGGCGAAGTGGAGGTGCATTTGGAGATCACCTTTAGAGTGGCGACAGGCCAGAGCGTGGGAAATGCCTGCAAGGTGTTCATGGGACAAGTGGAGCCTAGAAGGGCGGCTCCAATGTGCCAGGCAGAGTGTGGCTGCTCTGGGCACTTCGCAGCCGTCAGAAATGCTGGTGTTGCGTGAAAGCCCCTACATTTTAGATATTGGGTCAATGAAAAACACATGAGCACGTTATTGGGCAGGCCAAAGCCAGCAGCCGCCGGGGACCACACTTGGTGTGGCCATGTGCTCTCAACTTTTGGCAAGTGATCAAAAATGCTTGTTGGGAAAAAGTACTGTTGGCTGCTGCCTGGGATTCAGGAGGCTTGGGCTCTAGTACCAGGTATGCCCTCCCTGCATGATGACTCTGATAAATAAGTTTTCTTCTCCCCTTCTCGTCTGTGAAACGTGCAGGTGGGACAAGATGACCTGGCAGGGCCCTCTGACTCGGATATGATTGATACTGGGTGGGGTGGGGGGGAAAGGAGTTAGGGACCAGCTGTGGGTCAGATGGGACTTAAAACTGAGAAGAGAGGGCCAGGAAGAAGGTACACAGGAGTCAGAGCTCCAAAGACCCAGACCTCAGGTTTTGAGGGCATGAAGGACTGGGATCCAGAAAGGGAGCTGGGGTCCCACATTGGAATGAGTTTGGAGTCTGGAGGTCAGCAGACAGGCAGCCATGGGGGTGCCTATATCTAGGGGGTGATTAGTGGTGGGGGGTCTTACCTCCTGGATATCGCCGCAGGATAAGCTTTCGCACCTCATCATAGATGAAGATGAGGAGGCTGTAAGGGAAGGCACAGAACCACCACGTGACCCTGAAAAAAACAAGACAGTGCTGAAGCTCAGAGGCCGGCCTGGTGGGATGACATGAAAGACTTGGCAGCCCTGACTCTAGTGGCACAGGCCCGCTGCAGAGACACTCACTTGAGCGGGTACATGCGCAGGGCCACGCCCATGCCCGGGCAGTAGGACAGGAAGGCAGCCAGCGCCGTCTCCTCCAGGAGCCCGAAAATCAGAATCTTGTTCCTGGAAAGGCAGAAGAAGGAGGGGTAGGTAGCATTGGAAGGGGGTCAGGAGGGGGAGGCCTGGGAGCCTCTGGGACAGGGAAAGGAGTGAAGCAATGTGAGGGGAGTTTGCAAAGATGCCTTCCCCAGTGCCCTTGAACACCCTTTTCTCATGCTTGGTGTAACCAAAGAAAGAAGTTATTTTCTCTGCTCACTGATTCGACCTGACGGTTGTCTAGCATGTACATTCATTCATTTAATACATGTTCCCTGTGTGCTGGATGCTGTGCTCTGTGCTGGAGAAGCTGTGTGCTACACAAGCTTCCTTTCAGATCCTCAAGCAAAGTCAACAGTGGCCCCAAGTCTGGTCTCCCCAGCAAGGGGCTCAAGCGCTTCCAGCTCTTCGTCACCCTGGCTGGTTTTTCTTTGGTTGTGGAGACTCAATAAAGAGAATGTAAGTACTCAACAAAGGGAAGGCTTGCCAGGTAGTAAGTGCCTCTATGTGTTTACGCATCAGCATAGAAAGCTGGACAGATCAGACGCTGGCAGCTTTTGGCGTCAGATAGTCTAGTCCCAGCTCTGCCACCTGCTAGCTTTTCAATGTAAGTAGAGGCCCTTGACTTCTCTTGTTTCTTCTCTGTGAAGTGCAGATTTTATCCTCATCGTAGATGATGGGAGTGAACTCTTGGAAAATTCTAGAACATGGCAAGTGCTTACTACCCCTCTGCACCTCTTTTATGGCTCAGACAGTGGTTCCCAAACTTTTCACTCCCCACGGACACACCTCTCAATTTTCCTCTTTAGAGGCCACGTTTTCATGAATTGTCTCACAAGCTGCTTTGCGAGTCAGGATGGAGTGCGTTTCCCTGGTGAAAATGAACTAATCTAAACCTATCCTGCATTGTAAACTCATGTTACCTCAATAAGAAAATAAATAAATCCCAAAATAGAAAAATAAACTAGAAATAATACACGGGCATCTAAATAGAGGGCGGATTAGCACGCGGTCACGTTGTCTTTTGATACAATTTCTTGGCTTTTGACCAAGAACGAGACTTTAGTCAGCATGGAGCCTTCCCACAGAAATGTGTGATTTCCAGACGCATTTTGAATAATGCAGACAGCATCTCGAGTGCCCGGGGCCGGGAGGTAGATGGGTATGAGGCCTGGCTGTCCTGGCTGTGGCCTTGGTGTGACTGCCCTACCCCATGGCAGATGTTTCTTTTCCACCTGCCAGCCCCACTCCCTGCACAGTGAGTTCCCAGTCCAGACTGAGCCCAGTTTCTCGGACTCTGCTCTTTGCTCTCTTCCCATTGCCTCTTCCTGGTAGTGTTTTGCCTTACTGGACTCTCCTTTGAATCTCTTTTATTTACCTGCCAGATGTCTCCGCTTCCTCTCCTAGCATCTTAAGGGTTACTAACTGCACCTGGGTTTAGCATTTCACAGCCCTCCCCCCCTCCTCCCATCCCATACTAAGAACTTGTGAAGGAACTCACTTGGGGAATGTGCCCACTGTTGCCAGTAGAAAATAAGGAGGGATGAAGCTATGTGAAGCTATGTGAGGTCGCACAGTCTGTAGATCACTAGTGCAGTGACCTGTACGCAGTAACACATGTAAGAAGGCTGTGAACCTGACCCTGAGCATGAAGGTCCCAAGATAGCAGCACCACCACCGCACAAGGGAGAGCTGTCTGCTGGTGTGCGGGCACCAGAGACCCTGGACTTGGGCTGGGCAAAGGCTAGGGTACTGTCAGTAGAGTAGAAATGGAGAGAAGAAGGGAGGGAGGGAAAAAAAGGAGTGAAGAGAGGAGGGGGAGAAAGGAAGAAATGGAGGGAGGAAGAAACGAAAGGAAGGAGGAAAGACCCAGCCCGGAGGTGGGGGTGGTGCCTGTGGGGGCGCTCACTTCATGCCCTGCTGGAAGACAGAGTTGCGGCGGGTCTTGCAGATGATGAGGTCGGCCCACTGCACCACCACGATGCTGGCAAAGAAGGCCGTGTGGCATGTGAACTCCACCACCTTCCGCTGCTCGTAGGTCTAGGGGGGCAGGGGGAGAGTGTGAGAGGAGAGGACAGGGCCTGAGGGCAGCCTGGCTCAAGCCACTGACCAACCCTGGGCACCCAGATTGCCTGAGACCGGGTCCCAGTGGCCTCTCCCACCAGGTCAGCCACACTGGTCTGCAGGATCATGGCCCACCCATCCACTCCTGTCTGGAGTGGTCCTTCAGGACACTGGTGGACCCACCCTGCCCCTCCACATCCCCACCCACCCACTCCTGTCCATAGCTGTCCTCCAGGTCATTGGTGGACCGGTCGTCCCAGTCCAGGCGGATGCCCAGCAGCCGTGAGGGCAGGAAGCCATTTTCAGCCAGGATGACAAAGTAGGTAAAAAAGCCGCCCAGCGCCTGGATCATCCCTGTTGGGGGTGGGGGCGGGGGAGGCAAAGGTATGGTCTGGTCTGAGAAAGAAGCAGCAGGGGTGGCCCCAGGGCAAGACAGTGGCCCCTACCTCCCGGGTTCATGGCCCTGGAACCTGAGGGCTCCTCCCCCAAAGCTGGGACCACTCACCAATCTGCCCATAGGCCATGCTGATGAGTCGCTCATTCACCAGCTTGTCCGTCTGTGGGTTCCGAGGCTGCCGCTTCATGATGTCGCTCTCAGCTGCCTCATAGGCCAAAGAGATGGCAGGGACCTGCGGGCAGAGGGAGCGTGGACAGTGGGCTTGGAGGGAGACACCACAGGGAGGACTCTCTGACACAATTTGACAACAGCTTATGAAGACCCCATTAACTTCCAGGCCTGTGCCTGTTGTCTCTTCGGCCACTGCTACCTGGTCACTGCCCAGTCCATCCCTCCTTCCTCCCTGTCCACCCTGCCCCTCCTGTCCACTGTGCCCACACAACGGTCTTGCTCCCTCTGCTCCCCAGCCTCACCATGTCCGTGCCCAGGTCGATGCAGAGGATGGTTACAGTGCCCAGAGGCAGGGGTATGTTGGCGATGATGAAGAGCAGGAAGGGGGTGATCTCGGGGATGTTGCTGGTCAGTGTGTACGCAATGGACTTCTTCAGGTTGTCGAAGATGAGGCGGCCTGTGGGGAGGTTCTGAGGGCATCAGGGAGATTAGAGGGCCCTTCCCCACCCCAGTGCCCGAGGCATGGCTGCCGGTCCTCCTGAGAGAGGAAGAGTGTAAATGAGGGACACAGAGGAGGCTGAGGGGTCCTTGGGGCCCCTGTTTGGCTCTAACTGGTTAAAGGGCCTCGGAAGGAGATATTTGGGTACCAGGCATCCTGGCGCCAGCCCAGCCCTGCCCCTCCTCACCCTCCTCCACGCCTGTGACGATGGAGGCGAAGTTGTCGTCCAGGAGGATCATGTCGGCTGCTTGCTTGGAGACATCAGAGCCCGAGATGCCCATGGCAATGCCAATGTCAGCCTTCTTCAGCGCGGGGGAGTCGTTCACCCCGTCTCCGGTCACCGCCACGATGGCTCCCTGGGGAGAGGATTCCAGGAGCAGGGGAATGGAGGCCCTGCCCACACCTGGCTCTCATCCAGCTCCTGCTCTGAGCCCACCCGTGCCCACCAGCCCCACTCACCTGCCGCTGACAGCCCTCCACGATGATGAGCTTCTGCTGCGGGGACGTCCGCGCGAACACGATCTCCGTGTGGTTCCGCAGGATCTCATCCAGCTGCTCCGAGTTCATGTCCTTCAGGTCGGAGCCGTGCACCACACACGCCTTGGCCTCTCTGTAGGGGGCAGTGATGCTGTGCTGGGGCCTGGTCCACTTCCTTTCCTCCTGCTGGGGGCCAAGTAGGGTCCCCAGGGTCCCAGTGCTCCTCTCCCACAACACTCAGAGACCTGTTTGCCCCATATATCTGCTAGATCCAGGCAGGCACCATTATCCCAGCCACATGCTTCGTCTCCTCCTAGAGCCACCCTTAGTCCAGAGAGGACCCAACCTGCACAGCCTGGGCACATACTTGGGATGACAGACCAGAGGTAAGGCTGAAAAGGTCCCAGAAGTGGAACCAGACACTCAGGGAACACACAGGGCTCTGGAGGAGAGGATGAGGTGATTGGGGACAGAGGTCCTACAGAGGCCTCACCTGGGGTTGACCTGGCTGACGGGGATATTGAGCCGGGCTGCAATGTCCTCCACTGTCTCATTGCCCTCGGAGATGATACCCACGCCTTTGGCAATGGCCTTGGCTGTGATCGGATGGTCCCCAGTCACCATGATCACCTGGTGAGGAGAGATGAAAGGGAAAGTAGTATAAATGTTTCCCTCTTATTCCTTTCCCAAAGTCAGGAAAAGCCAGGCTACTAGATGGTGGGGCTGATTGGTTCCAGCCAAAACAATAGAACTGTGTATGTGTGTGAGTGTGTGTGTGTGCTCCGTGTGCGTTTGGGTGTGCTGCATGCTTGGGTGTATGTGCATGTGTTCGGATATGTAAGTGCATATGAGTTTGTGTGTGTGTGTGTGTGTGTGTGTATGTACAGCTGGAAGAGACAACAAGTTGTACCAGGGGGTCATTGCTTAAATGTCTGGCATTTAAGCAAAGTCCTTCCCACTGGCCCTCGCCCAATCCCCAGGGCTCCTCTGCCACCTCCCCCACAGCCCCGGAGCAGAGACCACACTGGGTACACACTGTCCCTGCTCCTGACATGCTCTCTCTCCTCTCGCTGACTTACAAAGTATCTCTAACCTACCAGGCAGATCAAATATCAGGCTGCTGTAAAACATGATTCAGTTCTCTGAGGCTGCATTAACTGCTTCCTGTGCTGGCTCCCCGGGGTGTCTCCCAGGGTATCCCCCATGATAGTGGCCTGGGCAGGGGAGCACAGGCTTCCCAGCAGGCAACTCCTCACAGCCCCCTGCACCTCTTATGAGCACTTTATTTTGGGAAAGCTACTGACCTACAGAGTCTCCGTTGGTTTAACTTCTAATGGAGATAATGTGCCCACCTGAGAGACAAAGTGGGGTTCAGAAATCCTCCAAGTCTTCTTGTGAGGAATAGCAGGCTGCTGCTTAAACCCTGGCTCCGCCATGAACTAGCTGTGTAGCCTTGGGCAGATGACTCTGCCTCAGTTTCCCCTCTGCTGCTGTGCAGAGCACATGAAATCATGCAGGTTCAGTGTCTAGAGCAGAGCCTGGTTCGTACAGAAGCTCATGGGATGATACACTGTTTGTATCAGTTGAGGACGCACTGTTTATATTAGTTCTGATCCACGGTGAATGGATTCTGACCCACTGTGAGTGTTCAAGGACTCTAACTGCAATGGCTCCTGCCAGAAGTCAGCGTGTGTGATTGTGTGTGAGTGTGTGTGTGTGTGTGTGTGTGTGTGTGAGGCGGGGTGGGGGCGGGATGCAAGAGGGAGAGCTTTAGAGCTGCACATTGGAAACAATATAAGCTCCAAGAGGGAAGGGACTGTTGTTTGTGGGTCCCCAGCTCCGTGCCCGGTGCCCGGTGTGTAACTGGAAGACAGTAGCTGGTGAAGAACAAAAGGAGCTCAGAGGCGGGTAGTCACTGAGAGGCAATTGCACTTGGACCAGAGAACCTGGGTGAGGTGTGTGGGCTGAGGCCTGGAGTCAGGCCAGGGGGTCCTGGAGAGTGAGTGGGTGCAGACAGGAGCCTGCGAATCCCATCCCAAATAGGCAGAGAGAGTGGGCAGTAGATGGGAAGGCAGGACACCCTGATGTCCAAGATGGGAGCCACATCAACTTATAGTCAGAGGAGCTGTGTCTGGAGTGGAGGTGGGGCCGGGGGAGGCTGGGCATGGGAGATGGGTCACTGAGCACAGGAGACAGGGTGAGAACACCAGGGTGGACTTTACCTTCCCTGACAGAGGAACAGCCTTGTTCAGCAGGAAAGGGACTCTAGCCCCTACAACCGTATGACCTTGAGTATTTGGGGGAGAGGATGGAGGAGAGCAGGGGTGAGCAGTACCTTGATGCCTGCACTCCGGCACTTGCCCACAGCATCAGGCACGGCTGCCCGGGGAGGGTCAATCATGGACATGAGCCCCACAAAACACAGCTTCTCGGTGGGAAAGTTCAGCTCATCTGTGTCAAATTTGAATCCCCGAGGAAACTTCCCAGATGGCAGATTCAGTTGGCAGAACCCTGAAGGGGTCAGAAGGAAGGGATGAGAGCAGGAAGTGGCTGCCTAGACCCCAGGGGAGAGGTGAGGTTGGGGGCCCCTCTCAGCCTTACTCCGGCTCTGTCCTCACCCAACACACGCTCTCCCAGGCCTCCCAGCTCCATGTAAGCATTCTGGAAGGCATCCTGCATCTCTTTGTCCAAAGGGATTTCCTTGCCCTGCACCAGGATAGAGGAGCAGCGGTCCAGGATGCGCTCTGGAGCCCCCTTCATCACCAGCACGTAGCTCTGAGGGCTGTCTTCTCGCTCGTGGATGGACAGCTAGAGAGAGGGCAGAGGTTAGAGAGGGACCCATGGTGCCTGGTGCCCAGCATGGACCCAAGACAGAGCAGAGATTGGTTAGGAAACCACTCTCATAAAAACAGGCCCGATCCATGAACGATGGTCAACAGAGGGTCGTCTTCTGTACAGGTGCTCGGACCTCACAGTCCCAACCCCAAACCTCACAGTCCCAAGAGTCACCTTCTGGAAGATATTCATCACTCAGCAGCACTCAGTTAAGATGGATGCTATGCTTGGGGCTTAACAGCACACAACCACCAACACACACACACACAGGCCTCAGGGGGGCTTTACTCCACAGCTTATATAGAATAGTCAACGCTGCACACTCAGCACCTAACAGGTCCCCACAGGCTGAGAACCTTCCGGGTGTGGTCCAATTGAACAGGATGGAAGGAAGGTTTGGGGACCTGGACCAGAGGATGGGGTACTCTGTAAAGAAGCACCCAACGGCAGACAGATTGTCATAGGGAATGAAAATCCAGAGTAAGGGGATGATTGCATCCAGACCTGGTCCCCAAATTGCCCCAGGGTGAGGCAGTGTGAGGGAGCATGCCCCTCAGATGCCCCCTCTTCTCCTATTGGCAATACCCCTTTGGTTTGTGTGCCCTTCATTTCTGGGTCTGGCACTTTCCTCATCCCAGCAGCCCACAGACCTGGTACTTGTTGGTGGAGTTGAAGGGGATCTCTGCCACCTTGGGGTTCCTGTCCCTCATCTTCCTCACGGAGCCGCAGGACAGCTCGATGCACTTGAGCAGAGCCGACTCGGAGGCATCTCCAGCTGTGTCCCGCTGCCAGAGGGGGGGGGGTCAAATGTCACAGTGGGCCGAAGGGAGTGTGCACTGAGGAGCAGGTCAGAGAGCTCCTCCCAAACCCCACAAGGTTCAGAGGGGAAGACAGGCACAGCCAGCTGAGCTGGCATGCAGACACCCCATCCTACCTTGGACACAGAGATGTTCTCCTGGCCGGCCTTGAAGACAGCTCGGTTGCAGAGACCAGCAATGCGGGACAGGGCCGTCCAGGTGGGGGAGCGCTTGTCAAAAGTGGCCCCTGGCAGGACATGAGGGAGATCCGAGCTAGCTCACCTCAGAGCCCTCCGGTCACTCCCCTCAGCCCACCAGGGCATGCCTGAACCCCTGCAGGCCCCTCAGTCCCAGGGCACCCAATCACCAGACTGATCTTCTGTGGTGTCGGCCTCGTGGATCTGGTTGTCAAACCACATGTGGGCGACAGTCATGCGGTTCTGGGTGAGGGTGCCTGTCTTGTCCGAGCAGATGGTGGACGTGGACCCCAGCGTCTCCACCGCCTCCAGGTTCTTCACCAGGCAGTTCTTGCGCGCCATGCGCTTGGCCGTCAGCGTCAGACACACCTGTCAGGAGGGGAGGATGAAAGGCCCAGTCTGCACTGGGGACATGCATGATCTTATCCAGACCGTGGCTCTATCCCTCCTCCCTCCTTCCACCCCACAGAAGACAGCACCCGTGGGACCTGAATGTGCTCTGTGTGAGTGGTGAACTGAGATCATGGGTGTATATTTAGGTGATAAGTGAAGTAGGGGATTGAAGATTTTTGTATGAGTCCTACTAAGAAGGGCGCTGGGCCCAGGAGGGGAGGGGCTCAGTCAGGGGAAAGGGAAGACCAGGAAGCTGCAGCTGAGAACTGGGATGGGGATGTGGGGGTATTAGGGGGACACACCACAGGAGACTGAGGAGAAGAGAGCCAGGAGAGGGACACATCATAGCAACCAAGGAAAGAATCTGGGAGGCTGGTTAGGAGTATCTATTTCAGCTGCAGAGTTAAGGATGACTGCCGGGAAAAGGTCACTGGATTTGCTAGTTAGTCACTGGTGACCCTTGAAAGCCTTCACAGGAGAGGCTCCAGATGGATGGGGGTGAGCGGCCCACGAGGAAGGCCACCAGAAAAATTCCAGGAGAGAGACTGAGTGCTGAGCATGACCCAGCAGAGTAGCTCAGGCTCACACCCAGAGCCATGTATTTGTTACTTGAGAGTGTGACATGGTTTCAGGGGCCAGAAGTAAAAGACTTGCTGTGCAGCTATGTGTCTCTGTCACTTTTGAGGAGATGTGGCAGGACCGCCCTGGTGGCTCCTCAGCCTGACCACTCACGGTGACAGTGGCCAGCAGCCCCTCGGGCACATTGGCCACGATGATGCCAATAAGGAAGATGACCGCCTCCAGCCAGCTGTAGCCCAGGATGAGGGAGAGCACGAAGAAGGAGACACCCAGGAAGACGGCCACCCCCGTGATGAGCTGGATAAAGTGCTCGATCTCCATGGCAATGGGCGTCCGGCCCACCTCCAGGCCTGAGGCCAGGGTGGCGATGCGGCCCATCACTGTCCGGTCACCTGTGGCGATTACGATTCCCCTGGCAGTGCCTGGAACACAGAGAGGACACCAGGCTAGGTATGCTGGGGGCCCAGGACTGAGGCTCCCCTCCTTCCTGGGAAAAGAAAGTGGCACAGGTAAGGGAGTCAGACTCAGACCTGGAGGCTGCTCTCCCTGCGCAGTACCCGCCTGGCTAAGTCCCTGCATGGAGCACCCGTCCCAGACTCCATGTGACAGCAGCTAATGGTCTCTTCTAGTTGGGCCTAGAATAAACTCAGAGTTCAAACTGAGGAGAGTCAATAAATGAAATTAAAATACTGCCTACAGTATTTCAGTAAAATCAATGTCACGCTTGTTATCATCCTGAAGCACATTATGAACGCAAGAAAACACTAATGGATTTTCTTGCCCAGGTTAGGCATGAGTCTCTACGGAAGAACCAGGCAATCACTGACCCTGATGGGGACACTTAAGGCCCCGGGGGAGGGGGAGCGTGTGTGAGCTGGAACAGCAAGCCTGGGTCCGAATCCAGTTTGTGTTCCTGACTAGGTTTTGTAGTAAGTGAGTGAGACCTGTGCTACAGCTAGACCCATGCCTGGCACATAGTAGGCCCTCAGCAAATGTTATCTCTGTTCATTTCCTCTCCAAATTTAAATGTCAATTCAGAATAAGTAATTCAAATATTTTACCAGGCATATTTACCAGTTGTGGGAAATGTAGAGCAAATTACAGAATCTCTACATTAAAAATTTAGGAAATGTAATGTGTTGTGGCTCTCATTGTAATTCCAATTTGCTGAAGGAGGGAAAGCCCAGAGAAACATAATGCACCCCAGAGAAAGGAGGAGGAGGGACAGGAGGAGGGCACAGGCCTCCTAGGCCCCTTTCAGAGCCTTCTCTCTCCCACTCCTCTCATGCCTCCTCCACACCAGCCCCCACCTGGCTCCCAGGCATGACCCTCAGGGCCACAGTGGGTTTTAGTTGGACCCCTGCTGTTGGGAGGCAGCTCTTCTAGAACTAGAAAGCGAGTGGGGAAGCAAACGGGGCAGTCTGTGAGGGACCAGTCAGCTCTTTTATCGACTCACAGACCCAAGTGAGGCTCAAGGAGGGCTCAAGTGCTCCCCTGGCCTGGAGCCTTCCTCACCTCCCCCGTCACAGCTTAAGGGTGAGAGAGGGATGCCCAGTCCCAGAACTGGAGAGATGGGTGCATCATAGACCAGAGTCCAGACTCGAGGCCGGCTTGGGCTTGTGCATGTGTGTTCACGAGTGTGTGTGTACATGCGTGTGTAGGGGGCCTTGAGCCAACCCCTAAAAGCTTTGGAATCACCCAGAATTGGGGTAGACAGAATAGAGATGCTCCCATGGGGAGGTGACTTTTCCATGGAGTTGGGCTCCCCCAGCCAATACCCTGCTATGGGGGGGCAGTTATTTTGAAATATTCAGACTCTGATCCCTCAGCTCACTCCTCCGGCAGGGCTCTTGAGACATAGTACAACACATAACCCACTCCCGTCTGGTAGTCCATCACCATCCCCAGCAAGCCCCCATTGTGCTGAATGAGGTTGCTGTTCACCTTCCACGCAGTTGGTGGAGAAGAAGCAGATGTTGCGGGTCTCCAGGGGGTTCTCATGGGTGAACTCAGGGGATCGGGTCTGGGGCTCAGACTCTCCTGTGAGGGACGAGTTGTCCACCTGAGGAAGAAGGGGTGTGGCCGTCAGGCGGGCAAGCACACAGGAGCAGACGCAGCTGTCTCCTGCTTCTGACCGCTCTCAATCTCCCTGACCCAAAATTACACTTGCCCTCATCACATATTTATAGCATTACTCAGCTATTGTCCCTGCACTGGCTGGAAACCTGGCTCTTACTGGCTTCTTATGTGACCTTGGGCTTGTTACTCAACCAACAGAGCCTCCTTTGACGGGTCTGTAAAATGGGAATGTGGCCAGAATCTCTGCATCGCACAGCTACAGGGGGCGTCACCAGCCCTGTTGTCTGTGACAGTGGCACCTCTTAGGGCAGTGCCTAGCACAGCCTGTGTGGCCATGCACAGCAGCCCTGCTTGATTACAGCCTCCTGCAGAGTTAGATTTGACAGCATCTGTGAATGTACATTAGTGCTGACAGGTCATTGGTACTCAGTCTGTGGTTGCTGTAAAGTGGGTATTAGAGAAATCCACCGGGACAGGGTCCTCCCAGCACAGGATGCAGAGCCTTGCACAAACGCCACATGTAAACATGTAAACGAGTTTTGACTTGGGAGGTGTGTGCCCGGGGCTGGCATTTGGGCCGGAGTCTCCCAATCTTTAGAGCTCTAGCTGGCACCCTCCCCTCTGTGCAGCCTGCTCTGACCCAGCCAGTGGCTCTGCAATCCCCTCACCTTGCAGCCATGTGAGGAGATGATCCGGAGGTCAGCGGGCACACGGTCTCCTCCCTTCACCTCCACCAGGTCTCCTACCACCACCTCCTCTGCGTTGATCTGCATCTTCTCTCCCTCCCGCACCACAAGGGCTTGCTGTGGAAGGGCGTAGGCGCTCAGAATGTGCTCATGTCCACCCCTTCCTTTCTCTCCTGCTGGCCCCACCATTCCTCTAACCCCCCAAGTAAGGCGAGAAACCCTGCGCCCTCAGCCACAAACCCAGATCCTGATGGGAGAGCAGAAAGGCATCTTGGCTCATGACCCATTCCCAGCACACAGGGCTGAGAAAGGGAGCTGGACTCTCCCAGGAACTGATGCCCAGCCTAGGACCCACCAGCTACCTGAGGCACCATGTTCTTGAAGGAGTCCATGATCTTGGAGCTCTTGGCCTCCTGATAGTAGGAGAAGCAGCCAGTGACGATGACCACAGCTGCCAGCACCACACCCAGGTACAGCTGGTGAGGAGATAGAGTTAGAGAGACCTGCCCTCTCCCAACCTGGAGGGGGCTGCCACTCACCCCAGTGTCAGTGTCACCTGTCTGACCAGAAGAGGAAAGTGTTCTCCAACCTCGCCCTCCTAATCCCAACCTCCTAAGGTGGCCGTCTGAGGGACAACCCTGACTAGAGCTTCTCTCCGGGGCCAAAGGGGAAGTCTACTTGCGTACAAAGGAACGGAGATAGGCTGCCTCAGTTATGAGTGATTTCAAGTGCGTGTGCATGTGCGTGTATGAGTGTGCAGATACACAGAGAAGGTACACAGAGATCAGCTTAAGGAGCAGAACGGCCTGTGGGACTGGGCTGTTCCCTGCCCCCAGCCATATGGGAGCTTTGAGGTTGGGCAGTCACGGGCTGGCTGACCCTGCGTGCTGGCTCACATTGTCATTGGATGGCTCATCCTCCATGGCAGCCTGGATGCCGTAGGCCAGGAAGCAGAGGATGGCCCCAATCCACAGCAGGATGGAGAACCCCCCGAAGAGCTGGCGACAGAACTTCACCCACTCCGGGGTTGTCGGGGGTGGAGTGAGGGCGTTGGGGCCGTCCCGAGCCAGAATGTCCTGGGCCCGCTGGTTGGTGAGGCCCTGAGGGAGGAAAAGAGAGGGTGAGAGGCACATCCAGATCCAACCAGTCCTACCCCACCACGCATCAACTCCTTGGCAGGGAGAGACATCCAGATGGAGAGAAAACTGCATGTGTGGAAGAAGGGCCGGCCAGGAGAGGGCCCTAGGGGAGGTGACCTTGTGGTGTGTTGTTGGAGTCCCTGAAGGTTGGGGGAGGGTTTGACTATGTCCCCATCTCTGCTTGTCACAGAATTCACACCCATTTTGGCTGGGCCACCAGCTCCTCCTGAGGCAACCCGGGTAAGACTGCCTGGAAGACATCTTGCTTAGCTCCCCCCAGCTTCCTTCAGCAGTCCCCTTCCCCAGGCACCCCAAAGGATCCCCGTGTTACCGACCCTCAGTGTTACATCAGCTTTGGAGGCCATCTGTCACTTTGCCCAGCAGGCATGGCCTGGCTTGTTCCCCAGTCTTCAGGGTTCTACCCAACCTTGCACCCCCTCAGAAGGTACCAGAGCTGCCCTCGCCCTGCTGCATGACAGCCCAGCATCTGCGCCCTTTCTGCCGCTAGACTGAACCCCGTCAGCAGTCACTTCTGATTGATCTCTCTGCCTGCCACTCATTTATTTAATACATGTGCATCGAGCACCTACTGCATACCAGGCTCTATGTCAGTTCTGTGGTCCAGAGAAGGATGGACAAGACACCCCCCCCCCCACCACCGGCCAAGTCCCCACCTGTGGAGTATGTGATCTTACAGGGTGGCACAATGATAGAGGTTATGCCAGATGGTGAAAGGGTTATTTAGGGAACTAAAGCAAGAAGAAGGGGGCATAGAATTGTAGGAGACGGACCGGGAAGGTTTGCAGGAGGGGGTTTCCACCCACAAAATCCGTGATTAATGATTTATTTTTCAAAATGACAGACTTAGCAATCTGACTGTGCCACTGTGGTGATGTGACCTTGGAAGCTACTCCCCATTGTGGGGCTTCTTGCTCAAATGAGTAGCATGCAGCCCCTCCTCCCCAGCAGGGGTAAGGACTGGAGACGCATGTGTGACGTCCAGCACGGGGCTGCCGTGCAAAGCGGGCCCAGCACAGAGCCGTGGGCACAGTGACAGGCTCGTACCACTGAGCAGCTCTGCAAGAGGTTGTGTGTTGCTGAAGCTGCTTGGAGCAGGGAAGAGCCCTGCCTGGGGGCCCTCTGGGGTCCTGGCCTCCTGGTACATGGGTGAAGAGCTACCGACCAGGAGGCAGGGCTCTGGGCTCTAGTTCTGTCTCTGCCATCAGCCAGTCCTGCCTGGGCCTCAGCGTCCTCATCTGTGAAGGGTTGTGCTGCAATTCTAAGGTTCCTCTGCCCTGGTGCTGTGGGGATCTTGTACCTCTTCTTGCCTGCCCAGGACCCCTACTCACCTTGGACAGGTCCACTTGGTATTTGCGGCCCAGCTCGTCCAGGGACAGCTTGTGGTCATCCTGGAGAAGGGAAGTCACTTTACTCTGGGGAAGGAGGCTGGCTGTGTCTAGAATGTGCATGAGGGGATGGCGGGGTTGGGGTCGGGGGGAGTGCTGGCATAGGGGTGAGGCGAGGAGCAGGGGTGGGCAAGAGCCTCTCGGGTGCACTGGGCTGCAGGGCAGCTCTCCCAGTCCAGGCCCCTTCATGGCCGCTGGGCAGGCTGTGGCGCTCACCATGACCACCTCCTTCTTCAGCTCGTCCAGCTCTTTCTCTTTCTGTTTCTTCTTGCCACCCCCATTCTCCGCAGTGGTGGCTGCAGGCGAGTACTCGCGGCCAGCCTACAAGAGGAAGGGAGTGTACAGAGAGTCAGGGAGGACAGAGGCTGGAGCCTCTCCTTCCCCTGGACAGTGGGGAATTGGGACACTAGAAGTGAAGGCAGTGAGAGTCCAGGGGGTTGGAGGGCGGTGGGATCCCAGCCCCTCAGCTTGCAAGCTACTGGCAGAGCTGTGAGTTCTATGCTTGCATTTTGGGGGACACTGAGGGGCTGGGGACTCATAGTTCCCACCCTGAGCTGTTTAATAGTTCTGCTAAGATTCCGTTTGTTGAAAGAAGCCTGCTGCTAAATAGGGCTCAAACAAAGCAAACAAACTACATCCTAGGCTATTTAGAATTCTGGAAGGGAGTGGCCAGGGTTGGGGTGGTTGGGGGAGTGGCAGGGCCCTGTAGGAGCGTCTTTGTACCAACATCTTGGCTACTTTACTCTCAGAGGAGCACAGACAGTTAGGGATTTGGGGGTACATAGGTCTGGGGAGTCAGGGGTCAGGACAGGGACCTGTCTGGAGGGCAGTGGCAGCTACAGATCTGACTGTGGGGAAATAGACTCAGCAGGGCTCAGACTTCGAGAAGCCAGGAGATGAAGGGTCAGAGCAAGTCCAGGAAGTGGGGTCATGGTGTGCTGGGAACCTTGTCCATCCTGCTGGTGGCGGCCCCACTACTGGACAAGAGGCAGTTTGCAAGACTCAAGGCCCCAAGAACAATTGGACAAAAAGGGAGCCAGGTCCCATTTGTCAAAAAAAAGCAGAAACTATCTCTGAGAGTAAATCTAAAACTAAAATTCATGTCATTCTTGGGTCCAGGCATTCCTGGGTCTCTGCTGAAGTTGGTAACAGTTTTAACTGGACCCCCTTGAGCCCCTGTGCTCCCTTCTATTTCAGAGTCTATGGTCTCCTGGACCCAGGTTTCCAGGCCTCACAGGGAACTTTCGGGGAAGAGGGCAGGAAGCTCTCCTTGCAGGGGGAGGCTGTCCTGGGAAGACAGGACAGCAGGGGCTGTGGAAGGCCTGGAGACAGTGTCCTCCCTCTTCCTGCAGACAGAGGGACATCCATCCTTGTCCTGGAGGGCTGCTCCGATCTGTCCCTGAGCCCCAATTTCTCCACTGAGCCCTAAGGGCTGCTTAGGTTTTCAGGAATGAGCTACACTATACTAGACTTTGTTTTTGCCATAGAATGAATATCTGGGCATTATCTACAGCCAAGCAGTTTGTTGTTTTGGGGTTTTGTTTGTTTGTTTGCAGAATAATGCAGTTTTAAAAATCTTTTTTAAAGAGCAGTTTTACCTTCACAGCGAAATTGAGCAGAAAGTACAGAGTTCCCACATGCCCCCTGCCCCCACATACAGCCTCCCCCACCATCAACACCCATCCCAACAACACTGCCACCAACACCCCCACCAGATGGTGCATTTGTAACAATTGATGAACCTACGCTGACTCATCATAACCACGCCAAGTCCACAGCTTACACCAGCGTCACTGATGGTGCTGTACATTCTATGGGTTTGACAAATGTGCCCATTATAGTATCATCCAGAATAGTTTCACCGGCCTAAATGCCCTCTGTGCGCTGGGGTGAGGCATTTTTCCCCCACCAATGAGTCAGGAGCAGTCCCAGGAATGTGGCCGCTGCCCTGGACAAGAAAAATCAGGAACTCAGCACACGGAGACGGTGAAGTCTGAACGTGAGATTACCGGGGTGTGGGAGAGGAGCACCCCAGTGAACACCCCGGTGGACCATCGTGCCCTGGACACTGGCCATGTAAAAGGATGCCTTGAGAGGTGGCCTGAGCGCTCCTCCCAGCAGGGTGACCAGTGGTTCTAACATTTGCTTCCGCATGAGGCGTCCTGAATCAAGTGTGCTTTCGGCTTCCTAAGGCCTGCCATTTTGGGGACACTGAGGCTCTGTCTTTGGGGGCTGGGAGGTGGGGGCAATGGGCCGAGAAGTGAATGAGGGCAGCAAAGGGATGCAGGCAAGACATCAGACAGAGCATTTCAGTGTGACCCGTAGGAGCTCCCAGGAAGAAACAGGCCAGGGCATTCAGAGAGGAAGGGGCTGCCGCTGGGGGCAAGGAAACAGTGTTCTGAGAAGTCCTGAACATCAGACGTGAAATAAAATTCGTGGAGATTAGACTAGAAAGCATGGTTAACAAACACCTCCACCCCACAGACGTTGGTGTACTGGATGGCAGCTGAGCTAAGCAGCTCCATGCAGCACCCCTGCTCTAGGCTTCCACCCGGGTGTCCTGCGAGCGAGCTGGACACACTGCCCTTCCCCCTCCTCCTGTCCTGGCAGGGATCTCAGACTCTGCGGCCAGGAGCCTGCAGAGATTTGGGGCCAGCGGGCTGCCCAGGCAAGAAAGAAAGAGAGGAAGCAAGGACCCCCTCCTCTTCCCTCCCCAACCACAAGTCCCCCTCTCCGGTCTTGAATGCTGGAGAACAGAGAGTTCTTTCTGAGAAAGCTAGAGGCTGGGACAGAGTAAGGGCAGCTGGAAAACAGCCAGTGCCCCCCCTCCTTCTCCAGCATCTCAGTGGCAGCTGGAGCAGGCTGGGCTCCCTCCCACCGCGTCTCTCCCCCAGCTCCCACGCTGCCCTTCATGGTCACAGGGTGATGGGTGGCATTAGGCCTTGTTCTGGAGCAAAGACTGGGGGACAGGGATGGGAGGTTAAATGAATCCTACACCAGGATGTGGGTGGGAGTGCTTTCTTCAGGGGTCCCTCCGGCAGCTGAACTCTCAGCTTCATCCTGCAGATCCCACTTTCCCCAGTGTCTCTGCCCCAACAACCAGATATGTTTCCAGCTGCTGTCGCTTCACCTGCTGCTACCGGGGGGTGGAGGTAAAGAGTCTTCAGGGATGTTGAGGGCGAGTGTCCACCCCACTAGGTTTCCCCTGAGAAGTCAAGGTCAGGTCACACCCCAAGCAGGACCTCCCAGGCAGATAGCACAGGTCCACCCTGTTCCAAAGTGGAGCAGGGCAGAGGCCATCTGCCTGCCTTCCTTCTGTGGCCGTGGGGTAGCAAGGCTCAGCCTGGCCTTTCTCAGAGGTCCTGTGCTTCAACTGGGTTCCCCTCTCTCTGGGGGAACACGAGAGGTCAAGGTGCGGCGTAAGGTGCGCAAACAGGATATTTTCCCACAGTGGTGACCTTTTCCTCTCTGGAACCCACACCTCACAGACAGCACCAATGGGCAACTCAGACTCTCATCCCCCCACACACCCATGCTCACACACAGTGACATCCATGCTCATGGACAGAAATATCCATGCTAATCCATGCTTGAAATTATGGAGCTTACAAACTCGCCTGCTGAGACACGACACAGGTGCCCATCGGTGGATATTCCTGCCAACTCCAGCCTAAGGCGAGCGCACAGGCCGGGCGCACACATGCACACTCATATAGACACACACACATGCATTCACACACTCCACACACATACACACATATACACACCGGTTCTATTTATAGCTCCCACCGTAGCTCAGGAACCCTGGTGTCCAAGCTGAGAGTTTTCCCAGCTGCTAAACTCGTTGCAATAACAAGTCCTTGCCTGACCCCTCCAGGCCCAGAAACTACCCCCCAGGTTCCCGCGGGCACCCACTTTATTCAGCACCCTCACCGCTGCCCTGCCCCTCCAGCGCTCCACAAAAGGAAAACAGTCAGGCAGTATGTAGAGGGACTGGGTCACTTTTCTCCATATGGAAATTTCATTTCCAAGAATTCAAAGCCCTGTCCCTGCCCCCTCAGTGGCTGTTAATCTTCCCTTTGGCATACCCAGCTGCAGAGTGCCCAGAGTGGGTGGGCTGGGGGTACAGGCAGCTCTCACCAGCTCTGGGAAAGTCCTCAAAGTCCATGGCCCAGAGCCTGAAGACAGCACTGCCGGGACATCTGGAGGGGTGCTGGGCTCGGCCTCTCTTCCTCCCCACACCCCTCCCAGCCATCTCTGGACCTTGGGGCCCCAGGCTGGTGTTGGGAAGGTGCTAAGTGGCTCAAGGGCAAATGCTCCCTGTGACTTAGACCCCCAGGCTCTCAGCTGAGACTCTCAGGGGAGCGGTTCTTTTCCCGGAGAGGTGAAGAGGGAGGATTAGCAATACCAAGAGTCCCTCCACCTGGGAGATTGGAGGTGCAGTAAGGAGGAGGGAGGTGTGGGACTGGTCAGTGGGAGGAGCAGGGATGCAGGTGCAGGGAGGTGGAGGGAGAGCAAAAGGATTATGTGTGGCTTTAGGGCAGGTTGTGGGGGTGAAGAGAAGAGCATGTGGATGTGTCAGGCATTTGTAGCTAAGACTTAGCTCCCAGTTCAAACCATTCCACTCGGTCAGCGTCCGCCCCCTCCCTCCACATCCCATCCCACCTCATCCTTACTGCTTGCCCACCTCCCTCACCTCTGGAGAACCCCAGCTCCTCCCTATAAAAATACCTACTCTTGGGGGTACTCACCCCGCGGCCCATCTTGGGGCAGAGTGGCTGAGGGGCCTAGACAGGAGAGGTCACCAGAGGCTCTCAAGCCCACACGCCAGCCTGGGACTCTGGAGACCCCGGCAGACAGACAGAGAGGGCTGAGCAACAGGGTAGCTTTAAATAGGTCCCTCTCCCCTCTCCCCCGCCTTCCCCTCCTCGGAAAGAAACGTTTGTTGAAACAGGATCCCTGAGGACTCCTCCCCTCCCGCCCCTGAAGCAACTGGCCTGCATGGTCCGTTGTCCTGCTGAGTGCTCCCCCTTGGCTCCCTTCAAACTCCCTCTGCCCATGGCAGCCACTACTCAGGGGAAAGGAAGGGGAGGGCTGGAAATGGCCCTGAGTGGGGCAGAGGGGGCCGGCCTCTCAGCATCCAAAATGCAGAGGACACGTGGTCTGACCGGGCCTTTTGTTTTCCTGGTGAGGAAACTGAGGTCCAGAGATTAAACAATTTGAGCTGATAAAACAGAACCAGACTCAGGCCTGAGTCCACATCCAATCTCCCAGAGAAAGAATCAGAGACTGTTCCTCTACTGTAGAAGGTGTGGGGGTGCTGAAGCCAAAGAAGCTAGTGTGGGAGCCCAGGGCCGCTGTGTATCTGAAGAACTGTGGAGGAGGTCCTGTGAGAGCCAAAAGGGGCTCAAGAGGGAACAAGAAGTCAGGAGACAGAGGGGAGAGGGTCTCTCAACCTTAGTTGCTACCTTTCTAGTCTGAGGATCAGTACTCCCGGGGATGAAGGAGGTAGCCTGGAAGGGACGACCCGGCAGGCATCCACATGACACCTCTGGGCCTTGTTCCCCTTGCTACTGTGTTACTGAGTGAACACACCCATCATTCTGACAGCTCTAGGCTGAATCCATGTCTGGGTTTGGTGGGAAGGAGAGGGGAAGCAACTCTTAAGAGGTATGTGGAATCCCTGTTGTAAGGGGACCAGGTTACAGTGAGTTAGAGAGGAAGACATGGCCTCCCCACTGCAGTGCGCTAGACCTCCTCAGACAGAGAAGGCAGCAAAGGAGAAGCTGGAGGCCGGACTGGGGGGCTGCATGTGGGGGTAGTATCTGTAACCCCATACCAATTGGAAGCAAGGGCAAAAGAGATGGCCTGGAAAAGGACATTGGGCCTAGGGGTGTTACTGCTATTCATTTGATGAAAAAAACCAAGAATGGGATACAGAAAGGAAGGGAAAACCGGAAGGGTTGAGAGAGGAGATGAAATCCTGCCCCTTTCTTCTGGGAGCAGCCAGGATGGGACTGTCTAGGGGTGTCCCCGTTTCTCTGGGCACAGAGATGCAATGGCTGCAAGCCAGTGGAATGGGGGCAGGTCTGAGAGCTCTGAGCCCAAAGGGAGCAAAGAAAAGAGGAGGGGGAGGCCTTCAGCTCAAAAGCCTAAGGTGCTGCAGGCTGGGCCCAGAGGGAACTCCCTACAGAGAGATTACCGGACTCTCCTCTAGAAAAGCCACTCTCAAGCCACTGGGCTCATGCCTGAATTCCCCAAATAACTGGCCCCCTCCCGGCCTGCAGTGGGATTTTCCATCACAGGGATCCGGAAGGTCACGTCCAGCTTCCGCCCTCCTTCTCCTCCTGGTTACAGCAGGAAGGGTGGGTAGAACGGTCAGACACCTTCTCCCCTGGCCCCTCAGTGACCTTGAATTTGGGCCTGGGGGAAGATAGGCAGTGGGAGGAAACAACAAGGAGAAAGTCCCTGCATACATAGGAGAGTGAGAAGTAGCTGGAACATCAGGAGAGACGTCTGGGGGAAGTCTCTAGAAAAGTAGCCACAGGTGGTCAGGTCACTCATCACTGGGCAGCTGAAGGGCAGCCTTGCCCTGGGCTGGGATGGGGAGAGGGTAATGGAATTGAGGAAGCACCTGCTCCTTAGTTCCTGGGTGGGAACCCAGGGGTCATCTCTGCGCAGCATCCTAGGACACAAGGGGGTGGGGTGGGGACACGTCAGTCCCAGAAGGTTCTGGAGTGGAGGTTCAGACTCTGGGCTCTCACAGTTTCCACATTGCCCCCCAACCCCAATCTTGCTCCTGCTGGCATTCCCAGTACTGCCCAGTCCCTCCAATGCCCTGGCTCCTGGCCCTGCAGCCAGGGCAATACCGGAAAGCACTGTGCCCTCCCTCTGCCCATACAGCCTGGCGGGGCTCCCTGCCATGCCTGGCACTGGGGCTCACATGGCCCCAAGGGCACTGCTGCTCACATGTTTGGAACTCAGACCAAAGAAGGGATGGGTCTGCCCCTCAGGGCCTGGCACCACTGAACACCTGGCCCCCAGGCGAATGCAGAGGCTCTGGGGTCCACCTCCTTCTCTTCTTGGACCTCAGCTTCCAGGACATTTCCAGTGTAGACACTTGGTCCTTTGATCCAGGAGCTTGTTAATTTCCCTGAAGGCAGCCTGGGTGTCAGTTTGGACCAAGGCCTTGGAGTAAGAGGAACAAAACAGCGCCCAAGAGACTTGAAGGTAGGAGGTAGGATGGCAGGGTGGCTGGCTGGGAGTGAGTGTGACAGTCAAAGGTCAGCAGGGGTTCAAGAGAGGGAAGGATAGGGTGGCCCTGACTCAGTCATGTGGTGGGCACAGGAAGATCTAGGAGGTAGGGGCTCGTGTGTGTGCTTGAGAGAGAGAGGGCCTGACAGAGGAATGTACTTCACACACGTGTATGCACACTTATGTGCATATACACTCTCGTGTGTGTGTGTGTGGGGGGGTAGCTGATGACTGAGGGGAGCCGATCCTGTGGGAGCCTGTGTGTGGGGAAGAGAGCATGCCAATGTACCAGTGCTGATTCTGGAGGCGTTCTCCTCAGGACACAAGAGGCTAACACTCATTCAAATGTGTGGCCATTGTACTGACAGCAGAAATACGTTGTGCACCAGTATGTGAATAGCTCTATATATGTGCAAGTACGAGCATGTTTATGTGTGTGTGAGTGTATATGTGTGTGAGTTTATATATGTCTGAGTATGCTGGTGTAAGTAGCTGGAGGGCAGGCATGTAGGCTGGTGTGGGTGTATATAAAAGTCAAGTGAGAATGTGTGTGTGTGTGTGTGCAAATGTGTGTGTTTATGTGTGCATGTGAGTGTGGCAGGAATGTGTGGTGTGTGCAAATGCATTTGAGTACACACACATGTGTGTGAGTGTGGCAGGCAGGCATGTGTGTGACCAGTGAGGGGGGCAGGTGTGGGCCAATGTGACTATACGTGAGAGTCCATGGGGAGTGTGTGTGTGAGTGTGCAAGCCTGAGTGTGATCAGTGAGAGCACGTGGGCTGGTGTGGGTGTACGTGAGAGTCCATGGGAGAGTGTGTGTGGCGGGGAGGGGGTGGGGACGGCTCAGCTGCAGATGGGCTTTCAAGGTCTCCAAGAAACAGTTTTGTTTCCTAAGTGACTGGCCTCCTGGGGCCTCCCGCCCAGACTTGAAGGTTGTTTCAAGATCATGAAAGAAGGAGGGGGAGGGAAAGGGGGAGGGCAGGAAGAACCAGGCCTATCTCCCCGAGCTGAGCTGCCGAGCTGTCGCTACCCGCCTCCGCGCCCCACTTCTCTGCCCTCGTCCAGTTTGGGCCTCTGGCCAGCCCTGCTCTCTCCCCTCTTGTGAGCAGTCCTCCCAGGGCAGGCTCGCCTCTCTTCCTCTCCTGCTCCCTTCCATTCCACTACTTTCTTCAGGGCCTGTGGTGCTCACCACCACCGAGCTTCAGGGCCCGCTGGGGGGTGTGGCTGTCTTGGAGTGACAGGGTAGAGGGAGCCTGGGAAGTCTTGCTGTGGCCGTGACAAGCGTCCAGAAAGGCACCTTGACCCCCTCTCTGTCTCAGCCCCTTCACCCTCCACACCCCACAGCAGCACTGACCAGTAATGGGAAGGTTGGGCTCACATCCCAGGAGGACTACCCAAATCCTGCTGCTGCCTCAGTTTCCCCACTGGACCACAGCATGGATGGAGTTGGGTTTCCTTTCCATCTCCCTCTTGACATCTCCCCTGATTTCTTTCTTTTCAATCTACTCAATAAATCATAAAAACCTCTTTTCTGGCTCTCTTTGTTCCGTCATCTTTAATCTTTCACCCAGATTCTTCCTATCCCTTTTGTTAAAATCACACTATAAGGAATTCAGAGAATGAAGAGGAGGTAAGGCCCCAGGAGGAATTTCTTCCATCTTGGCCTCCGCTTCCTTCGGGCATTTCCCCTTCTCACTGACCTTCCATGTTCTGTCTTGCCTAGGCACACAGGTGAGGACCCTAGGGAGGAAAAAGAATTGGACCAATGCTGTGGCCTGGCCTTGCCAGCCCTCCTCCCTGAGTGATGACCAGACCCTTCAATGCTTCTGTCTCTCCCCACCTCCCCCCATGCACCTCATGTGGCCTAAGGGCGTGTTCTTGCTGGTCAGGCCAGCTGAGATGGCTGGTGGGACCACCAGCCACCTGTATGACCTTAGGCGAGAACCTCCCCAGAAGCTCTGATGATACCCATGATCCAGGTTTCCCCCCTCTTGTGCTCAGGCTCAGTCCATGGGGTCAGGAGAAACCCCCACTGGAGGTCTGGGTTCTGGAGGAGCAGGTGCTCCAAGGCTGACCCCTGGAACTCTCAACACAGAAGCAAGGAGGCTGAGGGACTGGTATCCCACAGAACCACCAGGGAGGTGGGACAGAGTCTGGGGGTCTTCTGGGGAGAAGGATGGGGTGGAGGGAGGTAGGAGAAGCCAGTCATTTCCTGGCTGGTACTTGATCAGCAAATACCAGATTCTTGAAAAAGTGTTTGTGGGTGGTAGGGAGGAGGGGGTTAATGGGTCTTGCTAAATGCAGGGGCAGAGGTCACAGCTGGGCCCTCTGGGGTTCCTGTTTGCCTTTGATTCAATCTGGGCAGGGAGGGGGCAGCCCCAGCACCCTGAGGCAGGTTTGCTTTGGCTTAAGATCTGACCCAGCCACTGGCCCAGAGCGCCCCGCCCCCTGCTCCCCCTATCCAGAGGCAGCCTGCTTGGGCTCCAGCCTCCTCCTTCTCCACTCAAGGCCCCCATTTGGCCCAGGATTCAGCTCTGCTGTCTCAGTGGTCTGGACGCCCTGCTAGGACAGGATGCCCTGCAAACATCTGGCACTCAGGCCTGGCTTTGCTTCCTCAGAACGGGC